AGCTGCTGTGCTCTGCCACATGTGGGCAATGCCCTGGTGGGGTTTTGCTGCAGAGATTTACTGGGTTTCCTTGGGATACAAGGTCCTTGGTTCCCATCTGAGCCATCTTTGTACAACCTTTGTACATCTTCTCTTTGTACAACCCTGACCACAGAGATACAGAAGTGCAGAGCAGAGCCAACCAGTTGCTTTGGGCAGCATGGAGAAAAGCTGTGGCTGTGTTCCTTGGGTGTGCAAGAAACAGCAGAAAACAGAAATATTCTGCAGAGCAGGAGGCAAACCCTGACCATGCTCCTCATGGGAGCCTTGGCAGGTTTGCTGCTCTTGCTGTCAGAGCAACTGCACAACTCCCATCCTCGTGCCAAGGTCAATTTGCTTTCCAGTGTGTATCTGTAAATCACATCCCTTCCTCAGGTGAGCCCCTCAATCAGACATCAGCAGAAAGCAAACTCCCAGCTGGGAACAGTATATAAACTAATGAAATAGAAATGCCTGGTACAAAAGACAATACAGACCCTACTTGCTACTATTGAATAAAAAGTTTGATGGGAGTTTCCATCCTACCACCAGCATTTCCAGTAGATGCAGGCAGAGGGTTGTCCTTAGAGCCTGTAATTTGGTTTGCTTCCATCACCACTGGTGCTTTTAAAAGAAAAAAGCTGCTGCTTTTTGTTTTATTTTATTTTTAAATTCTGGCAGGAAGAAAGTTAAAGGAATGTTTCCTTGAAATATATTTTGACAGAGGCCATCATGTTAAAAATCAGAAGAGACAGCCCAGTTTTTAGTTCCTTGGTCTTTAGGAAGATTTCAGAGGAGATGAGGACATAATTGGAAAATGATTCCTGGGAAGTCATTAGCTTTTTCTTTTTTATGTGGTCAGGGGGTAACAGAAAGTTTGACAAGCTGTGGAATTAGCCAGGTTGCAATATTGACTACTCAGGATCAAATGCTACATGCACTATTCTAACCCTTAGCACTTTTTTTCTCATGAGGCATAAGAGCCTGATTAATTTTAGGCAATGTACACTCTCATACCCACCAAACCCGTGGGATTCCTCGGGATGCAGAATGTCTTTGCAATTGGCTGCTGTTGTTTCCCAGCCCCGTCCTTCTGATGGTGATTTTCAAGGTGATTTCTCAAGGCATCAGTGCTACTTTGTATGAACACATGGCAAAATCTGGCCCCAGATTTTAAAAAGATACAGGAAGCATCTTGTTATAATCTATGTAAATAGCAATCCTCTATTGTTGGATATGCTGACCTTGCCAATATTTATCCAGCACCCAATGGTGAATAGTCCACCATTGTTCTCTGCTGCTGTGAAATAAGGCTCTTGTATCAGTGCAAAGTGAGCATAAACACTAGTGCATTTATGAAATAATATTTGAAAAGTCACATTCCGCAGGTGCAAAGGGCTACAGGAAATGATGGAAAATCAATGCACTGCTTGAGAAAGCAAGTATTCCAGCTCGGTGCTCTCAGCAGCAGTGACCTTTCCTTTTAATACAAGAAAGTGGCAGAACCTGGCACCCTATCTTTCAGGGCAAAATGTCACAGGTCCCCATTTTGACAAGGATGGCTCAGATAAGGTGTTAGGAAAACTTTTTGAGAGTTTGTAAATCTGGAAAGGATTGCTTGGCAAGATCTTAGGTGTCCATCTTGGGGAAACTTGCAGAACAGCCTCAAGCAGGGGATAGGCTGAGGCTTTGCAAGGTTCCTCTCAGCCAGCACGCAACAGTGATGCCATAAAATTTAAAACCCAGCACTGAGTATCAGGATACGCAGAGGTCCATGGAAATCCCAGAGGTAGGGTGACATCTAATGCAGCTGGTAGGAAGCAGAGAGGAGATGACCCACAAGATGATCACAAGCACCAGTGTCATTCCCCCATCTCCTCCCAAGCCTTTCCTCAGTGACCCCGGGGCAGTGGCAGCGCTGTCAGTGCACCCGGGCCACCAGCAAATGGGAGCCTCACCGGCAGGAGGCCAGGGAAAACTGCTTCTGCTGCTCCAGAATTAAACAACTGGGTGCAAAGGCAAAATATCCTCTAGAAAGGCTCTTTTTCACAGTGGCCGGACAACCAGGCCTCAGGGAGGAGTACAACAGATTCCAGCAGAAACTAGACACTGTTTAATTTCTATTCAACGTGGTCATCAGACCAAAGCTTGGGGTTAATCTCACTCAGTGGCACCAAGGTCCTGGGAAAAAGCAAAGCATGTGGCAGAAACCTGCTGAGAAGACAGTAACGAGCACTACTAATGAGAGAGGGAATCAAGCATGCACTGCATCAAAGGCACAGCACTTCCTCTTCACCTACAAGTCAGCTGCAGTTCAGACCTTGGCAGTAACGAATAATTTCCCTCTGCAGTGTGTTTTTAGCACCTTTTGATCATTATTTTTATTTACCAATATTGTTTTAACAGCCATAAATAGCCCCAGCCGTGGTCTGAAGCCCATGGTGGGAGGCACTGTGCATACAGGGAACGGGGTGTCCTTTCCACGAGGAGTCCACAGCCGGTCAGGGAAGGAGCCATTGCCATTCTACAGCAAATATTCATTTCTCAGTCTTTCCAATGAACCTGGCAAAGCAACAATTAAGACACCAGGGATGAGTGCTTGCCACACTCATTTCATGTGTGCTGCTGATCAGTTGTATTTTCATGTGTGTTTTGTGCATCTGCTGCTCTCCAGCCACCAGTGGTGCCTGGGGAGGTAGAGAAGGACTTCTCCAAAGCAGACTGAATCTGATGGTTCATTAGAAATAGGCTTGGGATCATAATCTGAGACTCTGACAGCTCCCTTTTTGTGCCCTTCTGTGTGTCTGCAGCGATCTTCTCTTCTGTCTTAATGGGCTGGGGTTTCTCTTTTCTGAATGGTGGGGCTGCAGGGGAAGGGGGATGTTACAAGAGAGCAGCATGTGTGACCAGGGAGGTCTGTCACACACTCAGAAATAGGCAACAGCAAAGGCCTAACCTCCCAGCAGCTGGTGTCATAGCCAGAAGTCAGCTCTTACCATAATATATCCCTTCTTCCCCCTGGAAAATGGGTTTGTCCTTCTAAAAGAGGTTTTCTCCTTCTAAAAGGGGTTTGTCCTTTGAAATGGGGAGCATTTGCAGCTGAGTCCACATAAGAATCCTATTCAATCCTCATGATGGGCTTGTTTTTAGCCCCGTGGATCTGAACAGCACGTTCACCTCCAGCTGCTGAAGACCAGCCCTGCATATGTGATGTGCTCACAGATGGCCCTGGCCCTGGCCCCAGGGATGAAATACAGACAGCAGGCAGCAGGACTCGACAGGTCCTGCTCCGTGCCTGAGTTTCCACTGAGATGTTTTACTGTATTTTCTTTAAAGGGAATTTCCAACTATGGGTGAAGTTTGGTTATTTCTACTGTTTTTATTCATCCTGCTGAACCCAGGGAAGCTGGGCTAAAGGGGTGATTATTTTCCCTAGCTTCTCTGGGAGCCTTGGGCTAGATTTTCTGGTGTTTCAGTACTGGGAGATGCAAATAATGAAAAATTCACCAACAGTCTTGAGCATACCTTCCAGCTCCTGAAAAGCTACTCCGAGGGGGTTCCCACTGCACAGGCTGGATATACCTTCAGTCATTGAAGATGACATTGAAGATGACATTGAAGAGACATTCAGTCTCTGTGGCCTCAAGGACAGCAGTATCAGACATCCCATTTTGCTGACCCTGAGCATCTTTACGTGTGAGGCAGACCCTAAGTCTTTCCAAACCCATCAAGGGGCCAAAATTACTGCACCACTTGCAACAGAGAGGCTGCAAATCTGCAGAGCCATTGCCAACCACAGCGCTCCCCCAGCATCATCTCTTGCTCCCTAGTGCTTGGGGTCACAGTTGTATCACAGTTTGGATGTATCAGACACAGGGCTCTGCTGCTGAGCCTCTCTCCAGCTGCACACACTGCTGTGCCCTTGCAAGGAGGGATATCAGGGTCTCATTCCTATTGTCCCTCTCTAGACCATCCAATAGGGACATCAAAGAGCTGTATGGTCATAGCCCAACACAGCCTGCAAGAAGCTGTTTGTGTTCTTATTTCATTCCAGCTTCCTTCCCAACATGAGATTCTCCTCCTGGTTTCCCCTGCCCTAAATGAGGGCAGAATGAAGCCCAGCATGTGCACATACCCAGACTTTCTTTGTCATTCCCAGTGGCTCCTCCTTGAGCTGTCCTTCTTTTCTTAAAACTAAAGCGTGTTGGGGCTGAAGAGAAGCAGTGAATGAGTGTTGTCTGTGGAATCCAGCTCTTGGCCTGGCTAATTTGGCAGGTGGCCTTTGAGCAGATCTCACATGTTTTACAGAGCTGGGTGAAAAGCATTGCTGCTATTTCAAAACTGGGGCAACAGAAGCTCTGGGCTGGTTCTGCCTGTGATTACGGAGCCTGAGGGATAGAGGATGCAGTAAGAGAACTTTGCACTCTCACTTTCCAAAAGCATGCCGAGAGTAATAGAAAATTATGTCCTCCTTCTACAGAAATGTATTGCTTGAGGTGGAATTAGTCAGAAGCATTATTGCTTTCAGTAAAAGACTGCAGGGCCGGGGGTAGCCAAAAGAATATTAAAAGAAAAAAAAACAAAAAAAGAAAAGAAGAAAAAAAAAGAAGAGGTGTATTTTAAGGCCATGCGTATTTTAAGACCACGAAACTTTGTGACGCTGCCGAAGTACTGACCGTGCAAAGTCATCAGGAAACTCCCGATCCTGCCAGCACATCGGCGACTCCCTTTTCCCCTCGGGGAGTCCCCGAGCGGTGCCGGGAGCCGGGCAGGGCAGCGCTCAGCGCGGACACGGCACCGGCCGAGGACAGCCCCCGCCCCCGGCCGGCCCGAGCCGCCGCCGGCGCCGCGGGGCTCTCGGGGGGCCAAGTTCCCGTCCCGTGTCACTTCCTGCGGGGCCGCGGGGCCGCGGGCGCGGGGCGGGGCGGCGGCGCCCGCCGGGGCTCGGGGCCGGGGCCGAGGATGCGGCGGAGCCGGGCGCCGCGGCTGGCGCTGGCCGCCGGCCTCGGCTCGCTCCTGCTCGTCCTCTTCTACTTCCAGAGCAGCCTCAGCCCAGGTGGGTCGGCGGGCGCCGCGCTCTCCGAGGGTCCCCCGGCGGTCGCGGGCGGGCGGAGAGGGGAGCGGGGCACTACGGGCAGCCCCTTGGTGGCTCCTGGAGCCCCTCGGGTGTCGGGCGGTCCCCGGGGAGCCGAGGCTGGGTCAGCCGGTGAGGTGCCGGCGGTGGCGCATCCCGCTCAACTTGGCGGCGGCGGTCCCGTCCCGGCGCCGCAGGGACACCCGCGCCTCCCTCCTAAAGACACCTTCTTCTCTCGGCTCTCCGTCCTGCCCCGCGTCCCTGCGGGACGGGAAACCCTGGCCAGCTTTGTGCCATCGTGGAACCGTGCACAGCTTCGTGCAGCCCTCCCGTGTTCGGGACGGGAAAAGGGAGCTGCTCCGTCCCGCAAGTGCCCATTTACACCCGCGGTCACTCAGATCCCTGGGACTCTGTTTGAATGGCTCAAGGGACTTCTCTACTGTGTGCTCTTAGAAATTTCTTTGAAGTTGGGAAACAATCCTGAACTAAAATCTGAACCGTTTTGTACTGGGGGGATAATTTATTTCCCTGCCTTTTTCTGCCCCTTTGGGGAAATTCGTTCCTCTTTCCCAAGAGACGTTATTGGGAAATTCCTGCCGTTTTAACAATGTACTAATGTTTTCTGAGTACAGCAGCAATCCATCAATGGGGCCTTTCGAGTTACATCTTAAAATTCAGAAGACTGACTTGACTGAAATGCTAATAGAATTTTATCAGTGTAGACTAAATGAAATGTGATTTTCCTTTTATAGGGGCTTCTCCATCACTTTAATGTTTTTTTTCCCTAAAAATAAAAAAAAGGCGTAACTTGTTGGGTGAGTAAGATTGAAAAGGAGTTGGGTTTCAGCAAGCATTTGTTATTTCTAGATGAGCATGTGAAGCTTGTCAGATGAATTCAGAAATCCCAGAAGACCATAATCAGTATTGTATTCCTTAGTAATTTCTTCTTTTCTTAAAGAAATGATTAACGCATCTTATTTTAGTGTGGGGACTGCTCAGTAAAAACTGCAGCACTGAATCAGCTTTAATCTCCAGGGGCGCTAACGAAGAGATGATTGTGTTTTACACTGGATACGCTTTCTAGCATCTGACTAGAAAACATGTCTCTTTCCAGGGCTCGGGTTTTCAAAAAAAAAAGATTCTGTTGGTCTGAGTCAGCAGAACTTTCTGTGCTTAGTTGACTTTAATTCCTTACCTGATCTCAGCCCAGTTTCACAGAGTTCCCGTGAGGTCAGAGCAAGCCAGGTGATGGTAATGTAATGGTGGTGGTGTCTCACGAGGCGCTGGAGGGAATTTGGGTCTGGAATGCTGCCTTGAGAAGTGCTGGCCAGCTGATGCCTTGGGGAATGCAATGCCCTGCAAATCTACTCTTTCACGTGGGGCAAGTGTGATTTTTGGAAGTTCCCACAGATGGTGATAGGTCTGAGGTAGGAGTCTCCAGCTGCTGGAACCGAGTCACGTTTGTCACTCAGTGGGAACCCGTTTGTGAGGGTGTGGATGCCCTCTGCAGATTTGCCCCATTAGGTTCCAAAAAGAGGTGAGTTAAAGCAATATTCATGTTCTCTACCAGCTTATTTTCTAGCCACACAGTTGTCTCCCTGGGTCCAGCTTTCATTTTTGTGCCATTTCTTTCTCTTATTATTTTTTCAGTTTATAGTTTTTCCTTTTCTCTTCAGATCAGTGAGAAACTCACACTAGCTAGCAGAGGAAAGGTCATTACCATATACAGAAAAGAAGCAAGCTAAAGATTGCTTCATTTTTTATCCCAATGAAAAACAAACTGAGGCCAATTACTTGAATTTTAGAAGTTACAAGTTACAATAATAGGTAAACAATTTGCAAAAGAAAGTGTCATCTTTAATGTGATGGCTGCCTGGGGTTTTTTGGAGTTCTAGTTGTCTGGTGTCATTTGGTTTTTGTATAATAATGAATAAAAATGCTAGGAAAAAAAGAAGCAATGGTATGAATTTCCCCCAAGAGCGGTCAGATCCTTTCTCCATCGTTAGCAGGATTGAGCAGGTTGCCTTCCCTGGGCCACCCACAGTCAATTACATGGAACAAGCTGAATTAATCCTTGCTAATGGCACATAGAGACCCCACTTTCCTGTGACCAGGACAAGGAATGGGAAGAAGGATGATATAGCCAGAAACCTTTAAGCTTGAGAGTGCTAAGGGCTCACTCAGCTCAGGGAGCAGGAATTAACTGCTGTGTTTGCACGACTCACTCACAGCTCCATCCGGACAGTTGTGTGCCGGAGTGGTTTGTGCTGAGCTCCATGGCTGTGCTGGAATAAGGGTTTCTTGTTCTGCCTCAGGAACACCCACACACCAGCCTGTGCTGAAATAACTCTGCTCCTGAATGCCGCTGAGTTGGTTATTTTGGTGGTGGGCTGAATTAGTCTGTACTGATGTCAGTGGCAGAATTCCCTGTTGTACCTCCTGGAGGCAGGAATGAGCTCAGTGTTTGCCAGAGGGGTGGTTCAGGTCTTGGTGCTCCACAGGGAGGTGGGCTTGTGTGCTTGAGTGTGCCCTGACTTTGTGAACCCTGGTGATTTTTTGCTGCCTTTCCTTCCTGCTGGCTGTACTAGTGAGCAGACACGGTGGCTGTAGGCCCGGCTTTCCCCTGGGGTGGAGCTGTGCCATCACTGTCCCCTGCTCGCGTCAAGTCAATGCTGACCTGTCTGTCCTGTTGGCCATCAGCTGTCCTGCCCCAGGCTCACAGATACGTGGCCAAGGGCAGGATGTCTGTGTTGCAGGAAGGTGTTGAGGTGGTGCAAAGACCTTCCACACCATACCACAGTGGGTAGTTCCATGGTTTACCTGGAGCAGTCACCTTTCAACACCTCCTGCACCTTGGCTGGTGGCGTGGGCAAGTGTGCTCAGCTCCCAGGCAAAGCTCATGCCATCTCAGCTGGGCTCAGGGGGTGATGAGGGCCACCAGGAGTCCTTGGCTGTTCTGGTGTAACCCCACAGGCATCCAGGAGATCCTGTCTGGCCTCATCATGATTGTCATCCATCTTCTGAGCTGATGTTCCTCTACCGTTCCCAGCAGGAATAGCGCACTGCTAGCTGTGCTGACTTGTGCACGCTGTACATTTTCTGCATAGAGGTGAGAATACACAGCAGGACTCCCAGGCTGGTATTTCATCTCACTCTGCTGGCAGCACATCTAGGCTGGCACAGCAGGAGATACTGGAGGCTGCCATTCCTTGTCTACATCAGCGCTTTGGTCACTGCTGTTCTCAGGGGGACCACACTGATTTTCGCAACAGTGGGGGATGTGGGATGACTCTGGTAGTACAGATGTGGGATAGAGGGAACAGGGAACGTTTGAAGGAGGTTGAGGGAGGTGAGTGGCAGGTCCTAAGGCCCTGTGTTCATCTGGTCTGAGGTTTCTGCAGGGCAGTGCTGTGTGGCTGTGTCTTTGGGGCAGCTGTGAGTAGGCAAACTGTATTGACATCTGGAGAGCTGGCAGATTTTCTCCAATAAGAAAGAAGGAAAAGCTCTCAATCTCAAAGTGGTCCCTTATTTCTGCCCTGGTTCTGTCCATTTGCAGTGTCCAGCTGTTGTTTCTTAGGTCTTTCTAGCAGCACTTGCTCAGTGCTGGCTTTGGCACTCCCCATGTTGTTTCACAACCTGCTGTCAGCACGAGCTCTTGGACCTCACGGGGCTTTGCAGGTGAGATATACTCAGCCTTTGGTCTGACTCTTTCACAGCAAGAGATATCAGAAGTGCCAGGGTTGTGATACTATTTTAGAAAGCTTTCCAAGTGAGAAAGCAGCAAGAGCCCTCTCTCCATCCTTATCTGCTCCTGTATCAACCAGCTGGATCTCCTCTGGGCTCTGATAGAGCAAAGCCTTCTCCAACCCTTTCACCAGCCTGAGAAGGGTGTTGCTTCTCATTGTTCCAAATTTATTGATCCCAGTCAGCTCCATCTCTGTGCCTAAAGATTGGTCCCTTCAGGAGGATACAAATTATTATAGAGATTATAGATTTGATAAGTGATTTGACCCACAGAGCTCAAGTCCCTGAATCTAGAACTGCACCTAGACCTGGCATGAATGAAGATAAATACACACTTAAATATTAGCAGACCTTTGGAAGCCAGGGATTTTATTTTTATTTTTTTTCCAGAACAGGAAAGAGCCTATTTTAGGTCTCAGTTCCTCCCCATTGTTTAAAGGTATTTGGAGGCTGAAATTCAGCCCCTGCCTTGGGACGTGCGTGTGGTTCGGCCAGCGAATGCTCTGAGCCTGGGTCATGCCTGCAGCTGGCTGACACATGTCCTCAGCCTTCCAGATAAGGAGGGAGATGCTGCTTTTACCCTGGCTAAGGCTGCAAGCACAGGCAGGGATGACAAATCTAAGCCACCCTCAGATGATACTGTCTTCTCTTCTCTTCTCTTCTCTTCTCTTCTCTTCTCTTCTCTTCTCTTCTCTTCTCTTCTCTTCTCTTCTCTTCTCTTCTCTTCTCTTCTCTTCTCTTCTCTATTTTGTTTTGTCATGGGGCAGTTTTGCCCAGCTCATTTTCCCAGTCTTACTATCATGATGCCCAGGATGCAGCCCCTTCCTTTTGAGGAGCCAGTACTCGAAGTACAACATTTGTCAGCCAAGATGTTGTTAAACACAGGCTGGAAGCCCTCAGATATGCCACCTTTGGAAAAGACGTGAAGCGCTACCTGTTGGGGTAGAAAAATCCACCCAGTTCAGTGCTGAGAGCAGGACAGTAATGAAGCCCATCTGCTCCTGAGGGCCAGGCTTTTCGTGAGGAATGCTTTCTCTAGTCCTTCTTGGCTTTATACAGTTTCCTGAGAATCTCTGATGCAAGAGGTTTTGGAGGGGAAAGGAGTGGGCTTAGCACACACGGAGTTAACTCTGTCCCTGCAGGAGAAATTTGTGTGCTGGTGGCTCTGCTGGCTGGCTTCAGCCTCTCCTGGCTCCACATTCCTCTGGCATCTCAGCATGGCTGTTTCTCTCTGGCAG